GTGTGTGTGTGTGTGTGTGTGTGTGTGTGTGTGTGTGTGTGTGTGTGCACATATGTGCGCGCGTGCGTGTGTGCATGCGTGCGCATGCAGGTGTGGGAACTAAACTCCCGTCCTCTGGGAGAATAGCAATTGCTCTTAACTGCTGAGTTGTTTTTCAACCTGCCTATCCGCTTCTCCTTCCCTGACTGTGAGTGTGCTTAGGAATGTTCTCATTTCTGTAGCTCACCACTTAGGTTAAACTGGTGGCCACCTCTCTCTGCTTTTACCAGCACCAGGATTACAAGTATACATTATTTGGGTTTTGGGATTGAACTCTGGTCCTCGTGCTTGGAAGGCAAGCCTCCAAATCTTGATCCTCCTGTTTCAGCCTCTTGACTGTGGAAGTGTCACAATGCCTGGCTCCATTTCTTACAGTAGTTTTATAGGAGAATTAAAAATTAAGTTCTAAACCCAAGGCAATTTTCAGTTAGCCTTTTAAAGTTGTTTATGGCATTTCTTTCTTGAGAGGATGTTTCAAATATATGTCTATAATCTCTAGACAACACAGACAACCCAAAGTGAGTAATGAGAATTGTCTTTTTCCTTAAAAGTTTTTCTCAGAGCTGGGGAGATCGCTCAGCAGGTAAATTGCTCACTGCAATCATCAGAACCCGAATTCGGTTCTTCGGCGCCCATGTAAGAAGATGGGCATGGTGGTGTACCTCTGTAATCCTATACTGGTAAGCAGAGAGACAGGTGGCATCTGGACTTCTCTGACCAGCCAGTCTAGCCAAAACAGTGAGCTCCACCTTCACTGAGAAACTGTCAAAAAATAAGGTGGTGGTGGGGAACATTGGGCCAGGTGTGCTAGTACACGCACACCTTTAATCTCTAAATTCAAGGCCAGCCTGGTCTACAGAGCAAGTTCCAGGACAGCCAGGGGTACACAGAAACTCTGCCACAAAAACAAACAAACAATAACAACAACAACAACAAAAAAAAACAGAGGGTGGGGTGCAGGGTGGTTTGAGGAAAACATCCTGATACTGGCCTCTGTCCTGCACATGTGCCTGCATGAGTGAACACACATGTCAAAGCTTTTCTCAAATGTAAAATTGTTGATTAATTACAAAGTGGGAGTAAAAATTATATATATGAAAGATAAGGAAATTGAATACTGTTTTGTTTTGTAGCCCTGTTTGCAGTCCCTAAAAATTACAAGCTGGTAGCTGCACCATTGTTTGAACTGTATGACAATGCACCGGGATATGGACCCATCATTTCTAGTCTTCCTCAGCTGTTAAGCAGGTATGCAAAGTTGAACATTTCTGATACAACTATGTAAAATGTCAAGTTAAAGACATCTGGAGCCACTTGAGAGGTGATACTGCACAAATTTTAAGGCTTAAGGAAAATAAAGACAGTTTATGTATTTTTACACTGTATGTGATCAGTAGATTAAAATATGCTTAAAAATACCTGAAGACTCAAATTATGGCATGATGTTCTGACATGTAACTGTTCTTCCTCGGATCTGGTGTCTTCCATGGTTAGTTTACAGTCTATTCAAAGAAGAGATAGTAAAATAGTATTTAAAATACAGAATAGTGGTCTGTATAAAAGTAGGAACAATCACCAGGCATGGCAGTGCACTCCTTTAATCCCAGCACTTGGGAAGCAGAGGCAGGTGGATCTCTGTGAGTTTGAACTGGTCTGCAAAGCAAGTCCAGGACAGCCAGAGCATGTACCACAGAGAGACCCTGTCTCAAAAAAAAAAAAAAAGAAAAAAGAAAAGGGGAGGGGGTGTGGATACTTAAATATTCTTTTTCTTTTTTTGGAGCTTACTGCGCTTAGGTCTGAATTGGCAAATGGTATATAGCCCTATAGTTTTATATGGAGTCTGAGGTTTTAGGTAAATAGGCGTGCGCTCGCTCTCTCGCTCTCTCTCGCTCTCCCTCGCTCTCCCTCGCTCTCCCTCGCTCTCTCTCGCTCTCTCTCTCTCTCTCGCTCTCTCTCTCTCTCTCTCTCTTTCTTTTCTTTTCCTTTTTCTTTCCTTTTTTAAAACACAACAGGGTCTCTCTGCATAGCCCTGGCTATCTTGGAACTCACTACGTAGACCAGGCTGTCTGAGAAACCCGAGATCTGCCTGCCTCTTCCTGGGAGTGCTGGGATCAGAAGTATGTACCACCATGTCCCATTTAAGTATGCATTTTCTAAATTGATTTTATTAGTTTAGTTTCTTAATGCCAACCATAGATAAAACTGCTTATTATGAGGTTAGGCATGGTAGTTGTACTGTGAGTTCAAGGCCAGCCTGCTCTACACAGTAAGTTGTAGGCCAGCCAGGATTATGTAGTGAGACCCTGTGTCAAACAACAAAAGAAGAAAAGAGTATGGCTTGTGTGCTGGAGAGATGGTTTAGTGATTACGAGTGTTTATTGCTTTTTCAGTGGATCTGAGTTTAGTTCCCAGCACTTACTGGGCAGTTCACAGCTGCCTGATGCCTCTGGCACCTGTGCTCACATGTGTGTGCACCTGAACACTTGCACGCTTGTGCTCTCTCTTTTATGTGGGTGTGTGACTGACAAGTCTTTTGGATTGTGCAGTCAGTATTTGGATTTGAATCTCATTTTTTATGATTTACTTTTATTTTATGTGTATTAGTGTTGCTGTATGTGTGTCTGCGTGAGGGTTTCAGATCCCTGGAACATATTACAGACAGTTATGAGCTGCTTTTTGGGTGCTGAGAATGAACCTGGCCCTGGCCAGTGCTCTTAACCCCATCTCTCTAGCTCTTTTCAGTGCTTGCTAGAGGTAAAACTTGGAACAAACTCTTACTCTTGTTGGCCATATACTTCATATGCAAATGAAGATGGTAGTTTCTTTATAGGACCGTAGTCAGCACACACGAAGTGCTTAGAACATAGTATTTGGAAGTACTTATTACATGTTAGTTTAACAACTCCCTAGTCATGGGGTTCGCTTCTATTGAAGCTTGGGGAGTGTAAAATTGGCCTTTTTTCCCGTTGTCACTAATCATCCTTCAGCTTTTGCTCCTCTGCTTTGGCCTCTTGCTGTATTCTGTGCACATGAACATTGCACACAGAGCAAAGGACATGTAAGAACTTTGTCTGCCTTCAAGGAACTTTGTAATTCATAATTAACCAAAGCTACACTCCTAATGTTTCTCATGGTAAGTATTCAGCTGCACTTCTGTAGTATTTAAGTGAGGTCAAACTGCATCCTACTATAGAAATGCTAAGCGTGCCAGGAGGCAAGAAATGGCCAGGTAACGTCCTTGTTTAAGGTGGAAACTATATATAACTAATACTGTTTTTAATAAAAGTTTTCTGTTTTTTAAAATGCAGGTTCAATTTTATATACAACTGAATTCCTGTACACAGAAGTAAAAGAAGCCGTCTCTGTGAGCACAGCTTACACATGTAGAAGAATAACTGTAGAACAAGTTTTGGTTTTCTCTTGTTCCCTAAATTGTCACCACCTTCCTGTTTGAAGAGTAAAATTAATATGAACTAGATAGTGGTTTAACCATGTGACAGTGTTCATTAACTGTTGTTCTACTCATACTTTTTTTTGTACATTAAAGAAAGTGAATTTCTTATTTGTATTTTTTTTTTTTTAAGTTTCTCATTAAACTCTGAAAAGTCTTAGAGCCGAGGATCCTTTCTTCCCTGCTTTAGACTGGGGAATGTTAAAACACGGTCATGGTTTAGGTAAAGTGAGGTGCTGGGCCCTTGGGCCTAGACTGTCCCAGGTCTTTGTGATGAGGACTTTCCATTACTCTGGGGAACTGAATTTATCTGAGTAAGTCAAAAGTGCAGTGTGTACCAAACTGTACTCCATTATAAGGAATCCCAGTATATTATCTGCCGAGTATATTTTATAACTCTCTAGGCCTTACTTCACAAGTCAAGACTTTAAACATTTGGGAAACCTTAAGATTAGGTAAACTGAAAACCATTGGAATTGGTGTAAAAAGAGGTCCATCTAGAACTCATTGCAGTATTTTGCTTCATATAATGGGATAGTGATTATTTGCACTGCTGTGAAATTGCTTCTTACTGAGTGAGCCGTAACAACAAACACAACGAGGTTTTAAACTCTGAGATTAGAGAGTTACAGTTGTGAGAATCTGAGGTGTTGTATACATACATAATGATACAAATCATGATTTTAGTAAGCAGCAAAGCATTTCAGACTATTTTAGAATAGGCTGGGTATGGTGGTACCCGCCAATGATCCCAGCACCTTGGTGCCTAATGCCAGAGGCTCAAGAGTCCCAGTATAGCTGAGATACTTAGCAAGTCCCTACCTCAAAAATAATAGAAACAAAGGAATAGTCTGAATTAGCTGGATTCTAGAGGTCAGGACAGGTTTTGTCACCCTGAGGAAAACAGCAACTTTAAGCTTCTAGTACGCTGCTTGCACAGTTAGGATGAAATTATGGGAGTAAAGTTTCAGGACAAAAGTGGTCAAGAGTGGAGGCACACATCTTTGATCCCAGGACTCCAGAAGCGAAGGCAAGTAGATCTCTCCAGTTCCAGCTATGGGTACATAGTGAGACCCTACCTCAGCAAAGCTTTAAGACTGGAGAGTTGCTCTTGCATAGGGACTTGGACTTGGTTCTAAGCACCCCCGTGGTGGCTCACAGCCACCTGTAATTCCAGTTCCAGAGGATCTGACATGGCTGACCTTGGGCACCAGGCATACACGTGGTACAGATACTTACATGAAGGCAAAACACTCATAAAAATAATCTGAAAAAGAAAAAAGGTAAAGGACTTGGCTGGTTGTGTCACTGTGGTCACTGTAGTTGCTTTATTGCAGACTTGTTGGCTGTAGGCTTAATGTAATGAAAGAAAACTTACAAGAGGTAGCCAGTTTAACATTTTTAATAGTCAGAAATAAGCTTGATTAGTTCTCACACTTTATGCTGTCTAACACAAGGTATGTCTCCTGAATATTGGGCAAGAGCAAATGTAAATATTTTCTTCCCGTTTAGCTTTGACAATTAGGTCAAGAGTGGCTGAGGAATTAAACTCATTCAAATTTATTTAGAGTCATCTGCGGTTTTAGGTGTTTGTGTTGATGTTCAGGGAAGGTGGAGAGGGGCGAATGTCCTGCTGGAGATTCACAGAATGCTGTCAGAAAGCGGTGCTTGAGCAGAAGCACTCACTTCTAATCCACTCTAGCCCTTTATAACTTAGGTTTTGGCTCAGATTCTTCCAGCTTTTCTGAGTGTTCGAGCCAGCCATTCCTATTCTGAGACTTTAAGTTACCTGCTGTTGTAACCATGGGATGTAAGGGTATTGGTTTTAAACAGCACATTCCTAACACATAAACACAAAGTTTTAAAGCTTTTTGGTCAATTTACAGTTGGATCCCAATCCTCTTGTTTCCTAATGAACAGTGATGAATCAGAGAGGTATAGATTTTATGTGTTCTTTCAAAGTCATTCAAAGAGAGCACGGGTGTCAAGGGTTCTTTGATCTGTAACATCACCCTTAAGATGTAAGTCTTAGAGTGTCATTCCAACCATGTATATTCTAAATATTGGAGAGTATTAAAATAAGCCCTTGAACAACTGACATATTTTAAACTGAATGTTTCTTACAAATGAAAGCTCTATTGCATTATTTTCTTATTAAAGCTAGTAGTACATACTAGTAAAAGGAGAAAATGAAAAAGCTTATTCAGTTGTTTAAAACCCTAGTTAAAACCGCCTACTCTTTTGGAGAAGTGAAAAAATCCCAATTGATGGAAGACAATTAGGATGTCTTTTTTTTAAGAGTAGGCAACAGTGCCATTGGTGAAAGTGCATGCAGGCTTTTAATCCCAGCATTTGGGAGGCAGAGACAGGTAGGTCTCTGCAGCCTGGTCTACAAAGCAAGGCTCAAGACAGCCACAGCTACACAGAGAGACCCTGTCTCAAGACCTTCCCCTCTGCCAAAAAAAATAGGCAACACTTAAATGGCACAGGTTCTGCATATTAGTTTGTATTTTAAGAAAATGTCTGGGTGTGATTCTTTCGTGTACCATGTGTGTAGAGTGTCCATGGAGGCCAGAAAGAGGGCATCAGATCTCCCAGGACTGCAGTCAGACATGGTTGTGAGCTGCCAAGTGGGTGCTGGGAATCTAAATTCCTGTCCCCTAAAGAGTAACCAGCAGTCAGTGATCTTAATGGCTGAGTCAAGTCTCCAGCCCCTCGTGGTTCTTTAAGGTGGTCTATAAAGTGTTAGTCTAGTGGCCATTCTCTCTCACGGGCACCTTACACAGTTTCCTGCATGACGATCTCTCCAAGCTGTGGCTTTCATCTGCTCTTCTCTTGGCTTTAGTCTGTCTTATCCATTGAACTTGCTGTTCTGGAATCCACGTTGGCTGCAAGTTTACAACAATGACTTTTTTTTGTGCCTTCAGCTTCCCAAACTTAAAGGCTTTTACTAATTCTTAGTGTTTGGAACAGCATATGGATTGCTGACTGCAGAGAGTTTTCAGTTTTCTATTCCAGTGTTAAAGCAGCTTAGCTTTCGTAGCTTAAGATGAGATTTTCCAACACATTCCACTTGTTTTCTATCACTTACTTGGGTTAAACTGGACTCACTGGAGTCTGCCTCTGTTTAAATACAAGCTGTAATTCATCTGGAACAATTAAATTCATCTTACTATTAACACACACACACACACACACACACATGTCTGAGGGGGGAAAAACCAACCAAATATGTCAAGATTAAGCCAGTTAAGTCCACTTTGTATTTTAGAAATTAAGTTGGAGGAAATTGGAGACATTGGTTGTTATGTTCATGTATAGAATACAAGCACCATTTACAGTTGTGCTTTTGAGAACTTGAACCTGGTTTGTTTATAGGAATGTATAAAGAAACTGGAGTTTGGGGTTATGTTTTTTATATTTGTAAAGCAAAAGTTTGATCAAAAATGATCATTGTTCTTTTTAAAAATTTTATTTCACTGTTATTTCAATAAAAACATTTAAAACTGAATGACTAATTGTTTGCCATAGTCCTGAGTGGTGGAGGGTTGCGCAACTTAGAATACCAATAGTGATCCTGCAAAGTTCTGCTTCCTTGTCTGTGTTGAGGTCCATTGGGTAAGGGACCACGTTGGTATAGTGGGAAGGACCTGATGGTTTGAACTATTGATCAGTGTTGCCCCCCAACCCCTTTTTTGAGATAGGCTCTCTCTATGTGTCCCTGGCTGTCCTAGAACCCACTTGAATTCAGAGGTCAGCAGCCTGCCTCTGTCTCCCAGATGCTGCAACTAAAGGCGTGAGCCACCTTTGCCTGGATATTTCTTCCCTTTTTTCTTGTAGCATGTCCTTAGATTTCATTTACCTGCAGTTGATGGAGTCATTTGAATTCAGAGCCTGAAGACTGGATACACAATTGTGTTAACTACCTGTTTGTTCATAATCCTTAAGGACTGTTTCTTTATCTGCAGGATTATAAGTGGGAGCTCCTGGCTTTGATCTGGCTTCTGGTTAAGACTTTAGAGTGGGTGCTAGTGAGGTGGCTCATCAGTTAAGGCTCTGGCTACTCCCAGAAGACCCAGGTTTAATTCTCAGCACACACATGGCAGCTCAACTGCCTGTGATTTCAGTTCCAGAGGATCTGAAACCTGGTGGGTTCTTGCACACATGATACACATAAACTTGTGCAGGCACACACAAATACACATGATCTTTAAAAAGGACTTTAGAATTTAGTCCTTCTTGCACTGGGCCTGTGGCATGCTCCAAAGTCCTAGCTTCTTGGGAAGTTGAGTCAGGCTGATCATTTAAGCTCAGAAGTTCAAGACTATCAAGACCCTGTCTTTAAACCTTCCAGAAGTGCAGAGGGAGGAGAGGAAGGGAGGGAAGGAGGAGGAAAAAAGAGACAGAAGATGTTTGAGTGTGGTAGTTCATGCCTTCCATTCTCTAACCTAAAAGGAGATTCAGATAGCAGAATTGTCTCAAACTGGAGGCCAGACTGGGTTAGACTGAGAACAAGTATCTCAAACAGGTCCTCGAGGGAAGGAAGAAGTGCAAAGTACTTTCCCAAGGTATAAAGAAATAGAACAATGACTGTTCTTGTTCAAAACAGAAGCCATCCAAAATCTTTTGCATTGTTTTAAAATGTAGCTGAGCTGGGTTAATTTCATGTTATACATGTTGGATTTTCAGAGAGCCCAAACTTCTGAGATTAAAGAAGGCAGCTTTGTTATCAGCAATATGAAAGGACAATTTTGGTATCTAATACTGCTGTTTTGTGGCTTACATCGAATGTGAATCACAAATGAATGGTTTAAAAATCACCATGACTCAGATCTGACCTTGTAAAGAAGAACACTTCTCTGGAAAATTACCACCCTCGTTTCTTCAGAATAAAGATTTCCATTATTTGGGCAATAGTGTTAAGGCTTGGTATTTTATTTTTACATTTAGTTATGTGTCTGGGAGACAGATATGGAAGTCCAAGGACAACTTGGAGTTATGAGAATCAAACTCAGGTCATCAGGCTTTGTAGCAAATGTTTCATCCCCTGAGCCATGCTGCAAAAGACTGGGGAAGAGAACCAAAGGGAACTGTATTGTACAAAGACCCATTTCATGACGAGGTGTTTTAAAGAATTATAACAAAGTGGTTAATTTTCAGTCTTAAAAAAAATCTATAGAAATATTTGGCATGGAAAAAAATTTTCCTTTAGAAAATTTGGGAAAATTTAACAGCTGTTTACAGAGCATACATCCTGGGATGGGCACTAACACATGTCTTGGGAATATCGTGATTAAAAAGAGTGTGCCCTGTGTTATCTTATGTAACTCACATATAGAGATGTAACTTGCTGTTTATAGTGTACAATTCAGTGACTTTGTATTCCTAGTTGTATAACAGCAATTTTAGGACATTCTCACTTCAGGAAACTAGTACCTCACCTGTCACTTCTTTAGCTGTCACCTCCAGTTCTCTCAAACTCCCCTTCTACTCTACGTTCCATGCATTTGCCTTTATCAGGGCGATCACGTAGAATTTAGATATGGTGTGTGTGGCTTGACTCAGACATACTTCAAAGTCCCCTGATATTGTAGCATGTATCTGTACTTTATTTTCAAACACAATATTCCATTGGAGTTTCCCCTCTGGGTTATTAGGAATAATGCTACTGTCAACCTCTATGTAGGGACTTTGTGTGGGTGTATGTTTTGAGTTCTCTTGGTTGCTTATTAAACAAGCTGTGTAACTGCCAGGATGAACGGTCACCCCTTGGTTTACCTTTTAGGAACAGGTATTTTCCAAGAAGCTTAGCAGCATTTGACATTCTCACTTGTAGCATAAAGGGGAACGGATTTTTATTTCCCGTTAAATTGGTTCCTCCGTTTAAAAAATATTCTATCTCAGGGCTTCTATTTTAAAAATATTCTATGTCAAGGCTTCTATTATTTCTTAAGCATTATGTCCCTTCTCTAGAACACCAAAGAAGCCTCTAGTCTACACGGTGGTGGAATGGAGGGTTTACCTGCTTTGCCGGGTAGGAACAAGGGACAAATGGCCAGGTGTATGGGTCCCGCACCCTGCTGCCTGACCACGCACACAGGCCTGCTGTCATTGCCCAAGGGCTGGGCTCACCCTAGAGCCCGGCTCGGGCGAGTCCGTGGCGTCAGTGGGCCCAGGGTCGCCAAGGATGCTGCAGGGGGCCGGGACGTGGGGCCCCAGGCCGGGTCCTGTGCCCTCGGGACTGCAGCGCGCCGGCTGTGGGCGGGGGACGAAGGCCGCGCCCCCGCGCCCGTCCCGCCCGCGTCCCGCTAGGGGCGGCGGCCCGCCCCGACTCCGCCGAGGTTCTTCCGCGCCGGCAGGGGCAGCAGCGGGAGCGGCGCGGGGCGGAGCGGCGCGAGCAGCTAGGAGCGGCCCGGCCCGGCGCGGCGGCGGCGGCAGCGACGCCAGAGCCCGTGGGCGCCTTTCGCGAGGCCGCCGCAGGCGCCTGGCCGCAGCGCGGGGAGCCTCGGGCGCCGGAGCCCGCCGCCGCCGCCATGCCGCTGCTCTTCCTCGAGCGCTTCCCGTGGCCCAGCCTCCGCACCTACACGGGCCTCAGCGGCCTGGCCTTGCTGGGCACCATCGTCAGCGCCTACCGCGCCCTCAGTCAGCCCGAGGACCGGTCGGGCGAGCAGGAGCCGATAACGGCCCCACTACAGCCCGAGGCGTTCGTGCCGGTGAGCTCGACCGCCAGCGGCCCCCGGGCCCGAGACGTGGCCCAGTACCTGCTGTCGGACAGCCTGTTTGTGTGGGTGAGCGAGGCTGCGGGCCGGGCGCGGGGGCGGGCGGGCGGGAGCCGCCATGTCACCCATTATCCGCAGGGGGGCGTGGCCGGGCCCTGACCCTGGATGAGGAGGCCCGGGGACCGGCCCTCGCGTGGGACTCGAGGCCCAGCGGCTCTGCGAGCGTGGCGGGCCGCGGAGGGAAGGTGTCGGGCTGCCGGGGAGAACAGCTGAGGCAAGGGCGCTCCGGCCCCTGGGCTCCAGGGCGGCGGGACGCGGCGACCCGAGGCTGTGAGGAGCCGAGACAAGCCGGGTTTAGCTCGGCGTTGTTGGGGGCGGCTTGCCGATGAAGAGAAGGCCGAGAGTTAGGGGGACATTTTACACTTCACAAAACAACTTCGAAATGTTGCTATTTGGCAATGGAATATAGCCCGGGTGGGCGCTATTTAACGAAGCAAACAGACCAGCTACGTCCTTTTTTTCTTTTTCCCCCCCGGATGGTTCGTGACTGTTCCGTTTTGACAGAAGGCAGCAAAACATTCGGATTGGTGTGGCAGCGCTTCCTTTGAACTCGGTTTCTCCGTTTAGCGATCCGTTTTAAAACAAGGGTTCTAGTTTGTCTGCCGGTGCGAGATAAGCAACGTTCACATGGCACAAGTACTGGCTTCGTTTATTATATCATTTTAGGCTGGGCAGATCTGAGAAAATTTTGCTCTCACCTTGCACTTGAGTGCCTCTTCAAACAAACCATCAGAAATATGAAAAGTTGCTCCAGGATTTAAAAAATTGTCACTTGGATTTCCTATGGCTTGGTGGGATCTTATCTCCTCGCACGGCACCTAGAGAAGGCTGTAAATGACTGAGGGGTTAATGTTCTAAGTTTGTAGAACTATATACAACTCATTTGTTGTAATTATTCCCACTGTGCTTCATCAGGAGGCAGTGGGATTTGTGAACTTCGTGGGCTGTAGAGTAGGCCTCCTGGTCCTTTGGTACATAGTTTCATAGAAGGCAGTGAAGGGTGAAGTTCCTCTTTCTCTACCGTGAAAAGATGAACTGTCCATTCATTTTTAGGGTAAACAACTTAGAATTATTATGTTGGGAGTGCTTTTGACAAGGGTGAAGACTATAGTGTATGTAGTTTTTGATACCTTGTTTTAAGCCCGAGATAACCGGAACCATTAATAGAACAGCCAGTAGTATTGTTTAATGATTTTTTTTTCGTAAGTTTCTTCTTGCAAAACCTGTGTTCAAATTCCAAGGTTAATACATAAAACATTAATCTAAGGCCTTTTGGTTTTTCTGAGAGTTGTCGTTTTTAAGAAATGTTCTTTTTCTATGTACAGTCTTACCTCGTGCAAATTAATCATTTCTTGCCCTCTTTTGAATCCTTATTTCTCAGTTGAAGTTTATTCGGTTTTCTTCCATCACCTCTGGAGTTTTGGCATGCATGGTGTCTGCCCACATCTATCTTGTGTGTGCTGTGAATTTTGTTTTTCGTTTAGTACTTAATTTGTGCTTTAACAGCTGTGCTTGACACTCTTCCAAAACCTTCCCTGTACCTGGCAGGTAACACTGAGTGACAGTGTAGTGGTGGGCCTTTGTCAAAATGGATGCTTCTTGAGCCCCATTCATAGGCCTTAGACATTACCCCCCACCCCACCCCATAAAAACAAAACATTGTCTGCCAATGTCAAGCAAGATAGACAAGACTGTCCTTTGTCAGTTGCTAGTCACAAATCTTACTAGTTATTCTTTTGTTTGACTCTCTAGAACTTGTCTTTGTAGACCACATGCAGTAGTATCTCAGGAGCTTTGGTATTAGCACAGGCAGATCAATACCTTCCGAGGTGCTATTTGCAGCACTCTGGAAGACACTGCTGCCAACAGTACTTTCCCCCTACCCTCAAATGACTCATATGTAAATAAGGCAACTTATGATAGCTGAGGAGAGAACACACATGAAACCCAGTGGGGCTCCGAGGTAGGAGAAAGGAGTGCTGTGTGAGGAAGGACTGACTACAGCTTTTCTGACTTAAAAGGGAGTTGAGAGAGGGTGGAAGGAGACCAGAGGTAAGAGGAGGTGGCCCTGCTGAGAGACAGATGAGAAGCCTTTGAGGCTCCATCTCTCCAGGTGTGGCTAACTTGTGGCTTATGACAATGACAGCTGTCTTTGGTTTGTCACTCCTCTGCCCCATGGAATGAGAAAAGTAGGTGGGATTTCAGAACTGGTTAGGTTAGTTCTAAACTTAAAACTTTAGAAGGCAGATCCTACAAGTTCATATTTCAAAGGTCAGAGTAAACAAAGGTGAGAGACAGCGAAAGGAAATCTCTGCTTCCTGCCTCCTGCTTCCTTCAGCTTCTTGTTATTGGTGCTGGCCTTAAGTGGGAAGCTAAGAAACAGCCAGCGTTTCAGGTCCTTTACCCAGTTCATTTCTATGGCTTCGAGTGTATATACGTGAACATACTCTTTTTGTTTCACACCTGCACCTGCTTTTTATTCTCTCCCTGAGCTGGATGATTCTTTGAACTTTTATCCAAAGTTACCTTGACATATCAGGTATGTATCAGCCTTCTGGGCTGATGCTCTCGCACCTCCTGTGGGTCCACTGGATGCCTGTTTATGAAGTCTCCAATGGTGGACATGAGTGCTCCATTTTTCTGCTCTGGTACAATGGTCTGGCAAACCCTTTTTAACTCAATGGAGTTCTGCCTATGAGAGAAATTAGTAGTGTGTATAGCACAGATAACATTTTAAAATAGCTCTTCTCTGTTCTCCAAGAGAAGGAAGTGGCTGTTCAGATCAGGCTTGCTGCAGCAAACCTTTGTTTTATGGTTCTTGGAGACTCAGTTTGTTCCATACTTCTGAGGCTTGAAGTCTGGGCTGACGGGTTAACTTTGCAGGAGTCTCGGGTACCTGGAGGCATCTGATTTGGGGTTTACGTTAGGTTCCTTTGAGCAGCTGAAGCTTGTGTTGTTTCTTTTCTGGTTTTGGAGACCCACTCTGGCTGCTTAGGACAGAGTAGTGTGCTGCCTGCTGTCAGTCCCAGTGTCTGCCTCAGCCTTCCCAGTGATAGACTTGTAGGCCTGGGCCGCCATGCTTGTCTCAATATTTATATTTGCATTTGCGATAGAGAAGTTACTGTGTTTATTAGGATGACATAATATTTGTCAAGTTAAGGTTTTTTAAATATTTTAAAGATTTATGCATATGAGTGTTTTGCTGGCATATATAAATGTGTACTACATACCTGCCTAGTGTCTTTGGAGGTCAGAAGGTGTCATTGGATTCTCAGGAACAGAAGTGCCAGGTGGCTGTGAGCCATTATATGTGTGCTGGGAACCAAGTGTGTACTCTGCAAGAGCAACACGTACTTTTAACCACTCAGCCATCCCAGCCCCAACACTTTTATGTATATGTAGTTAGATGTAGAGTGGTTCATTGTTGATAATCATTAAAATATTCCAATAAATCACAGTTCAGAACCTTAAAATAGTTTAGTTCTTCGAATCCTTCATTGCCTGGGTGTTCTTGTAAAGGTTATTTCTTTTTAAATACATTTTCCCCCAGTGGTTATGTGCTTTCTTTTCCCTCTCCTCTTTCCCTTTCCCCATCCCTTTCTTTTCTTTGAGACAGGGTCTGGATAAGCAGCCCAGACCAGCTTTGCACTTGCTTGGGCCTCTCTCTCTCTCTCACATGCTAGCATTACAGGTCTGTCCCCAGGCAAAGCTCCACAGGTTTGTTCAAGCCCTACTTTTCTTTATAGACGTGCTCCATTTCATCCCCCCCCCCCACCCCAAAGATAGTTTCTCTGTGTAGCTTTTGCTGTCCTTGAACTCACCCTGTAGACCAGGCTGATCTAAAACTCACAGAGATCCGCCTACCTCTGTCTCCCAAGTGCTGGGATTAAAGGCCTGTGCCCCCACTGCCAGGTGATGTGTTAATTTTCAAGTCTTCCATTTAGATTAAAATAGAAATGTTTTGATATTAGTGATGGAACCCCAGAATTATAAGGGACTTTGAGTTTGGTCCCAGTACCCATTGTTGGGCAGCTCAGAACTGCCTGTAACTCTAGGTCTAGAAGGATCTACCATCCCTGACATCCATGGGGACTTTGAGAGTAGACAGGCAATTAATATAAAATAAAATCTTTGTAAAAGGGAGTGGGCTAGGGAGATGGCTCAGTAATTCAGAGCACTGGCCGCTCTTCTAGAGGGTTCAATTCCCAGGATTCATGTGGTATCTCACAACTGCCAGTCTGACAGCCAACTCCCTCTACTGTACACACACACAAGTGGTACACAGACATACATGCAGGTAAAACACCCATACACTTATAACAAAAATAAAATCTCAAAAATAATTTTTTTTTCAGAAACCTGACAATACTCATTTTTAAGGTGCTGAAGTAGGCCTGTAACAGGTGCACCTCCCTGTATTTTGCCACTCAATGGAAACTTCAATCATATAAGTTAGAAGAAATGTCACAAAAAACCACATCACAACCTTCATACCAACTCCCTTACCAGGTAAATATGGTGTTTTTTTTTTAAATCGACTAAACTCCTCCAGCTTAATTGGAACATATTTTTTAAAAGCAGATTTATTTTCCTGGTTTACATATCATCATTTGAGTTTAAAACACAGATGCATTGCATTTAGTAATGCTCAAGGGATGGGGAAAGAGAAATGAAGACCTTGACTTTGAACTCACACTTAGTCTATCATTACTTCTCTACCCAAAAACTGCTGGACCCGAGTCATGAACAAAACTTAGTTTTACTACTTTCAGTTAAACTTTTTTAAGTTTTTGACTTAAAAAATGATATATTACACAGTTTCCTTGAGGGGCGGGGAAAATGGCTCAGCAGTTAAGAGCACTTCCTGCTCTATCTTCCACGAGCCCCTAGATCAATTCCCAGCAATCACGTGATCTAACACTCTCTTCTGGGCTCCACAGGCGTAGGTACACACATCATACATGCACACATGCACGCATGCACCCATGCATCCACACACCCAGGCACACAAATGATTTTTCTTAAATCTTTTTTTGAAAAGTTCAATTTATACTCTCTCCCACCTCCAAAAGTCTCTCTGACGTGTTAGAATTAAAAGTGTGAGCTGAAATGTTTTGAACTGGGTTCTTACATAAGGAGTCAAAAGGCTGTAGGATTTTTGATCAACTGTCTTTTTCTATCTGGTTAATTGAATGATTTTATGATCATGTGGCTTTAGACCAGTTAAATACCAAATAGTTCCCCCAACACACCAGTGAAACTATTTTTGTTTTAATCCTTTAAAAATACCTTACGTCCTGGCCCCATTAGGTAACAGAATAGAACTAAGTATGATTTATTCTTTTTGTGCTGGGTAGGGCTGCCATTATGTGTCCTTCCTCAGGAGTATGTGGTAGGGATACAGAGGGGACCTGAGAGATGGGTGGGAGCTTGCTTTCTTAAAGGATCCTTTCATCATATTCCCTCTTGTCCTCCATCCCCTCCTTTTCTCCCTCCCTCCATTATAATTTGCTTTTAAAAATTGAGGGGGTAGACTAGGTGGGCATGGTGACATGTTCTTATAATCCTAGTGCTTAGAACCCGGAGACAGGAGAGTAAGGAGTTCAAGGCCAATCTGGGGTACATAGAATCTATCTCAAAACAATAGCAATGACCAAAGTAAGGGAAATAGGACTTACCCATTTGCTGTTTAGGTCTGAGAATACCCACTTTTAACTTATTTTAAAGAAGAAAGTTTTGTCAAGTATGGAAGAAGGCCTTGGTTTCGGCACTGGAACCCAGAGTGTCTTTCCATTTTGTAGTCCCTCTCTGTTACCTGATTTATTTATTTATTTATTTACTTTGAGATCATAATCCTACCCTCCTCTACCTGTCAGGGCAGCATCTTTGAGTTCTGGATTTTACTAATCATGTGACTTTTAGATCAGGTATCTGATAGCTGTCTAAAAGTTCATGTGGGAATGAAGATACATACTTTTTGTGGCCACTTATTTATTGAGACAGTGTCTGGACTGGACTTTCAGTCCTCCTGCCCCAGCCTTCCTAGTATGTGGATTACAGGTGTGTGCCATCATGCCAAGCTTGGTATATATAGTTTTACAGAGACAATACAGAGTTTCCATAGGGTTCTGTCAAGTCTGAAGAAGGCAGCCTGCTGGAGGGCACCCACTGGGGCAGGGGTCTGACTCAATGAGCTGTGGACCCAGTGTTTCTCCTCCCCATGCCTTGTTCCCTTTAGCTTCAGTAACACTTAGTTTGCACTGTTAGAAAACCAAAAAGGCTCATCGGAAACTGTACACCATATTTGGGTCTCAGCAGAACTAAACTTCCTTCCTTTGGTTTGTGTGCAGGTTCTGGTGAATACTGCTTGCTGCGTTTTAATGTTGGTGGCTAAGCTTATCCAGTGTATTGTGTTTGGCCCTCTTCGAGTGAGTGAAAGACAGGTAAGCGAACAGATTCTTATCAAGTTTTGAAATGCTATTAGATTTCAAGCATATAGAAAAGTTCCATGTGTACTACAAAGAACTCCTTCATGTACTTCATCCAGATTCACTTTTAGTTTTATTCATGTGTGCATGTGTGTGGTGTGTGTGCGTGCAAGGCTCACACACATATGCACACATGTGGGTCTGGGTGTACTCACCTGTATTTGGCATGTGTGGAAGAGAATTTTAAGTCTTCCTCTTGTTCTCCATCTTACTTTTTCAGCTGGGCTCTTACTGAAATGGACGCTGTCACAAGTGCTTGCAACTCTGAGCCATCTCCTCAGTCCTTAGAGTCACTTCTTTACATAGATTTTCTAACCCATTTGAATTAAGTAGGGGACATCATACAATTTTACCTCAGGTAGATCCTTCAGGATGTGTTTCCCCAGAGTAGAGTTTCCTACTTGGGAAGAGTTTCCCAATGAGATCTTGGTAATCACAGCATAGGAATAAGACTAGAGAAGCTAGCCTTGATAAAATATTTCATTTAATTGTACTCAGAATAGCTAAGCTGTCCCATTATAACTATTCCTTCATGATTTTGTTTTGTTGAAACAAGACCATGCTATGCAGTTCTGCAGGCCTGGAACTTGCTTTGTAGAGCAGGTTGCCCTTGAACTCAGGAGTCCTCCGTCTCAGCTACCCAGTGCTGGGATCACAGTCACTTCTGCCTCAGAAGCTCCTTTCTATATACTTCATTCTTCACATTTTCCATAAAAATTCCTCCTTCTGTTCGCAGCCCCATGGGGAGAGCAAGAATACCAAACAACAACCAGAGCCCCCAGGGTCTAAACCACCAGCCTTGGGAGCACACAGGGAGGGACCCATGGCTCCAGCTGTTTAAGTAGGGGAGGATGGCCTTGTCGGGCTTAGGTGGGAGAGGAGATCCTTTGTCCCATGAAGGCTGGATGCCCCAGTGTGGGGAAATTCGAGGGTGGGGAGGTAGGAGTGGGTGGGTGGGGGAACATCCTCATAGAAGCAGGAGGAGGAATGGAATGGGGGTTCCTGGGCGGGGGTGGGGGGTGGGGATGGAGTAACGGGATAACATCTGAAATGTAAATAAAACATCCAATTAAAAAAACAGCAAAAAAAAATACATTTCCCTAATTACAGACCACATGCTGCTTCTGCAGTAATTGCAGGTCTTACTAGTGTCCAGTGAAAAATTTGATATCAATAATTAAGCAGAATTTAGATCATTGTATTCTTCTAAGTGTTTGTATCCTTTCCAGGTTGAGAATAAATTCTTAGGTGACAATAAATAAATAAATAAATAAATAAATAAATAAATTCCTCCTTCTTCAAGGCTTTGGTTCTTTCTGAGCTGGAAATGGAGCAGGCCAGCGGCCAGCTGTCTGAGTGCAGCAGTGGCCTTCAATGCTTTGTTTCCTCTAATGTATTTGGTGTCAGGTCAAAATTTACAGAAAACATTTCCTTCAAATATTTGAAGCTTTTGCTGTTAACCAACTCAGCCTTTTCAGTGTAGACCACATCTGTCCCGCTGTTCTTTGTTGGCTTACTTTATGATGAATGCCATCCAGTAGTGTTTATTAAGAACTATTTTGAAGCTGGGTGGTGCTGGTGCACACCTTTAATCTCAGCACTCAGGAGGCAAAAGCAGATGGACCTTTGAGTTCTAGGTCAACATGGTCTACAGTGCAAGCCCCAGGACAGCCAAGGCTACATAGAGAAACCATGTCTGACCACCCCGCCCCCCAAAACAGAACTATTTTGAGCTAAGACTAAAGAATCGACATAGATTTACTCCATGAGTGATTAAAGTTTTAAGAAATAAGAGAATATTAGAGGCAAAGACACCGAGAACCTAAAGTGGACTAAATACTACAGTGTGAACTAGAGGCTTAGGTCAGGGAGAACTGTGTTCTTTCCTTTTCTCGATGTTTTTATTTATTTATTTATTTATTTATTATTTTTTGGGTTTTTGAGACAGGGTTTCTCTGTGTAGCCCTGGCTGTCCTGGAACTCACTCTGTAGACCAGGCTGGCCTCGAACTCAGAAATCCGCCTGCCTCTGCCTCCCAAGTGCTGGGATTAAAGGCGTGCGCTACCACCGCCCGGCATCGATGTTTGTTTTTAAAGATTTTTTTATGTATATGAATGTTTTACCTACATGTGTATAAGTGTACCATCTGCATGCCTGTTACCTATGGAGGCTAGAAAGACTGGATCCCTAGAACGAAGTTAGAGATGATTGTTAGCTGCCATGTGGGTGCTGGGATATGAAGTTGTGTTCTCTGTAAGAGCAGCAAGTGCTCCTAACACTCAGCATCTCTCCAGCAAGAGAGTTTTTGATTTAAAAATATTTAAAACATTTAATGCCTATTATGGCAGTTAAAGAGTACTTTACGTATACTAGCGCACTTAATTTACCAACTCTTCTGTGAGACATAGGCCATTACACTAAGACCCACTTTATAGCTTGGGAAGCTGAGACATGCTGTGTCAAGGGTACCGCAGTTATGCTGAGTTAGGAACCACAGCCAGTGATATTTCAAGGGCTCCCACTTTTCCTGCTCTAGAAACAGACCTTCACCCAGGATTCCAGGTTTACTTTCTTGAGACATGGTGTTCAGAACCAGGGTCCAAACTAGCCGTATACACTGTGTAAAAGCAGTAGCAGCATTGCTCCTGGGGGGTCTCGTTCTCTCTCTCTCTCTCATTCTCTCTCTCTCTCTCTTTCTCTCTCTCTCTCTCTTTCTCTCTTTCTCTCTTTCTCTCTTTCTCTCTCTCTGAGTTGACTTTGTTTTCCGAACACGACATATCTAGTCAGGGTAGTGTTTGAACTCTCAGAAGAATTCTCTTTGTGTTGGGGTCTTACTGACCTCTAACTCAAGACCTTCTTGCCTCTGCCTTCTAAGTGCTGGGCTCACAGGTTCTACCCAACCACACTCCCAGCTTTAACTTTATTTTAAATTTGTAAAATGTTTGCAGTCCTTAAAATCATATCTGAAAGTCTCATGTTTTTGCTGGGTGGTGATGGCAAATGCCTTTAATCCCAGTACTCAGGAGGCAGAGGCAGGCAGATCTCTGAGTTTGAAGCCAGCCTGGTTTACAGAGTGAGTTCCAGGACAGCTAGGGAGAAAGAAAAATCCTGTCTAAAAAAAAAGACAAAGAAAGGCAGGCCTTGAGTTCATTCTTGCCTTTATCCAGAGTTTTACCACCTTCATCAATAGCTAGGTAATCAGATATTTTTATCTGTAATCACTAGAACTCATCTATTGTGCCCCCCCTTTCCACTTCCCCAAGAAAGTGATGACTTTTAAAACTGAAAGTTTTCACTTTGTAAAAGAATATAAGGGCTTGAGAAATTGCTCATCAGTTAGAGCACTTGTTCTTGAAGAGGACCATGTGGTTCTTCCCAGAACCCACTTGTTGGCTTACAACCATCCGTAACTCCAGTCTCGGGTATTCCAACACTCCTGACCTTGGGAATACCAGGCACTCATGTGGTGCAGACATGACATACAGACAAAACATTCATACACATATAACAGTTAAAAAATAATATAGCAAAGTAGTACATAATCTACTGCTTATGGAACACCTTACACAGCTGGCTTAGAAATCAGGTGACTATTATTAGAGACCTTACAACATTTTTCATCTTTCTTTCAATAGTGTTGAGGTAGAAACTCATTCAAATATATGCAATTTAATAAAATAGTCTGTAGATAGGGGAAAATTAACAATTTGTGTCTGTCACCATTAAGACACTATGGTAATATACCTAGAGAATATTTATTGACATTGGTAAGAGTCTCACAATAATAGATGAGAGAAAACAGTGTATAAAAATTAAAACATCTGCATATCAAACAAAGGGAAAAGATAATATTAAGGACATTATTTTATTTTAATATTGTTTCTTTTGGTTTTAGTTTTGCTTTTTAAGACAGGGTCCTGTGCAGCCCAGCCTAGCTTCCCAAGTGCTGGGATTGTAGGCAGATGCAATTATACTTAGCTATATAGATATAGTTTTAAATATTTTTTGTTGTTTTAAATATTTTATTGATTATATACTAGCAAATAGCCTTTTAATTTTTTCATTAATTTATTTTTTCACTCTACATTCCTGATCACAGCCCCTCCTTCCTCCTCTGCCTTTTAATTTTTATTGGTATTTTTTATGTGGAGTGTTTTTATATGTGTGATGTTGTATATGTTTGTGGACATGTGTGCATATTTGCATGAGGCCAGAGTTGACTTTGGAGGACTTTCTCTATTGCTTTGCACCTTTTTTTTTTTTTTAAGATTTAAAACAATTTATTTTTGTTTATATGCTTGCATGAGTTTATTGCACCGCATGCTTTGTACCTGCCTCATGTGGGGCTGGGAATGGAGCCGGGCCAGATCCTCTGCAAGAGCAGTGAGTGCTTTGGAGCTCATCAGGTAACTAGATTGGCCCATTAGCTAGCTGCAAGGACCTGCCTGTCTCCACCCTTCAGTATTGGGGTTACAGACAAATGTGCTTCTCCACTGGATTTTCTTGGGTGCAAGGGTTCCAAACGCAGGTCTTCATGCTGCTTGATAAGTACTGTATCTACTGAACCATTCCGCAGCTCTACTTTTATATTTTTTAGTTATTTAAAAAGTTTAATCTTTTCTATTGTTTATCAAGTCCGGGTACAGAAGTCTCAAAAATAATACTGATTACCTTGCTGAACATGTAAACTATAAAATAATTTTACTTCTTCCTCCATAAGAGTACTATCAACTGCTTTTTTTTTTTTTAATAGAAAAGTACCCTTTTATTGAGGTAAGACAAGTGTATTTACAATATGCCATTGTTAGAGTATATAATTGACCATGAGACTTCTAAAGCAGCTGAATTCCAGAGAATTATAAGGGAAAAGAAACATTGCAAGTATGTTTCTGTTACAGAGGATACATTTGAACATGACAGAAACACTTAAGGCTGAGTACTGGACCTTGTCCTCCATCTGGGGGGAATAATCAAAGTATTTGTTTGTTGTTAAAGACAGAAGGCTCACTTTTAGAAGGGGTTGGGGTTGAGGGAACCCACAGTAGGGCTTCCAGAGGTCTGAGGGCTGCTTTGTTTAAAAGCAGAGCCTCAAGATTCTGACTGAGAAATGCAGTGTGGCCAACAGTCCAGGTTCACTTTGGACTCACCCTAAACTGAGAGCCACCTCAGCCCTCCACCTTACTAAGGACCGTGTGCCTCTCACATCTTCTCAGGTCCAGTGTTTGCTGAAATCAGGCTGCTGAAAGGGGAGGTTTGCTGTAGTGCAAAACCCACTTTGATGGGGTCATGTCTACAAAGGAGTACAATGGCAGACTCTTGCTCTAACAGGAGACCTAGCCACTGTCAATTATATAGGCCAAAGCCTATTATAAATCTACAGGGCACCTTACACAGGTTAATTCTCAAAGCATAGCACTGACACTTCAGGAAAGGTGGGACTTTTTTGAGGAACATCAGACACAACGCCAGGTCTTTATTATCCCATGAGCTATTGAGGTAGGATTCTCCACGTATTGAGTTTTCACAGGTTACACCGTAGAGTCAGATGCAAGTACCAAGCAAGTACAAAACACGACAGTGATCCACGAGAACAAACCATCCCACTAAGAACCAGTCCTTCCTTCTGCAGATAGGCAAGGCTGGGGATTCTCCTGGCACTGAGAGATTTAACTAAAAACAGCATTGTAATGTCTTGTAGAAATGGTTTGTAAATAAATACAATTTCAATTATGATTTTATGAGTTAAAAAGCTTCGAGCCTGTTAAAAATAAATAGTGCAATCATTAGTGGTAAGATAAATAGTACTGTGTCTGACGAAGTGCTCCCATGTCCAACAGGAAAGCTAAAACCTTGGGCAAGGAAGGAAACCATCACTGTTCCTGTGGGCAAACCAGCAACAGATGGGAACGGCGTGTTCCCTCAGCATCAGGTTCATGAGAAGCTACGGCCAGTTTGGTTATAACGAAAGAGCTTTTACATGTTTCAACAGGGGTGTCTTCCTTCCTAACTCAAGTGGAGAATAGCGAGGGAAGCAGATGCGGTACATGCTGATTTTTGGATATTACAATAAAGCTGAAAATAAGAGGGAAAAAAAATCAAGATTAAATCATCAGCCCTTCTCACAGTCACAGAAAAAAACCTTTAACATGTTACACACCTTCAATGTCACCATAAGTTATGAAAACAAGGTGAGAAACTATGGCCAAATTTCACTAAGAACCCAACAAGAGAAACTACATCATGGTATGGGAGAACTCATGTGGAGTATATTGTTTAGATCCCAAAGCTGACTCCAATAGCCTCTGTAGCAGACTGCTCCATGGTCAGAACTCTGCTCTGCTCGGCTTCTGCGTGGGACAGATTGTATGAACACACTCAGACCACATCTGCGCTTCCAGACTGTTGTTGAGTCAAGAACGTGGTTAGCTATGACTGACGAAGTAACAGCTCAGAATGACCTCTGCGTATTTCAAAAATGACTATCTAGTTCAAATTTTTATCTGGCTCCAAAATATTAAGATTCAAAAGGACCACAAAAGTTTTATTTTATCCATGTTTACAAAAAAAGTGATTCACACATGAAACTGGGCTTCCTTGGGCTGACACATGGAGACGACATAATCCAATCCAATCCAGGCATCATTATTAGAAACCCAGGACACCTAGATATATCTGGGCCATCACAATGGACATCATAAAAAATAATAAAAAAAAAAAAAATCAAATGCCTACTGGTGTTCCTGAATCTTCTAAAAAAAAAAAAAGAAAAAGTAACAGACACCATGGTTCTCTACGAACGGCTGTCTTACATATTGCAGCAAGACTAAGAAACAGCCTTCTCAAGTCACTAAGCATTGGAATAGGCTTCATCCTCTCCATCTTCGGATCTCAGGCCTCACGAGCCTGCCGCTGCTTCTGTCACAGCTGTTGGGACTTTGGAGGGTGTACATTTTAAACTTCTGTAAGGAACTTTATACGCTAGTTCGTGAAATTTAACTTTGTGCTGAATATTCTTCAAAAGGGTTTTATAAATAATACAGTATTTAAGTTCTTCAGTTCCCTTGTTGTTATACCATATTGTTGCTTTCTCCAACTTTGTCTACGAATGATCTGATTCCAGGTAGATTTAGGAGGGATCCAAGGATAGGCACTCTTCTGATAAAGCCAACGACCACTGGAAAAAAGCCCCTGAACAAGAGAAAGAATCCATAAATCTCGAAGATCATGCCTATCAAAGGCCAGCCGATAAGAACCACGAACACACCGCCCAGGAAAAACCCAGTGGCTTTCACTTTGTGCTTCTGGAAGAAGAATCTGAACGTCCTCTCTAGACCAATGACAAACGCCAGACCAGCCACAAACAGAACATTTCCAATAGCCAGCAGTGCTTTGTCAAAAAAGAGAATCATCCCAAAGAACAGGAAAAACACTCCAAATCCTGTTAAGCCCATGCCAATTTTCTGCGTATCCGTGAGGGAGATCATGGCGGCGGCGGCGAGGACCGCGGTGCCTCGGGGCACACGCTGCGAAGCCTAGTCCGGAGATGAGCCTCGGCGACGCCGCCCGGGCCGAGCCGCCACGTCTATCAACTGCTTTTTAATGGCTAAAATTTCCTAACTGTTTCAGATTACAAGTTTTGGTTCACACTCACTTTGTCTGTACTCATGAAATAGCTGTTGTCTTTGCCTTCTGTACAGAGTGCTCTGTAAGCTTGCTTTTGTTGTATTAACAACTACTAAGTCGACTTGGTATGCTGGAACTCACCTTTACAAACTTTTTCCTTTTTAGCATCTCAAAGACAAGTTTTGGAATTTTATTTTCTACAAGTTCATTTTCATTTTTGGAGTGCTGAATGTCCAGACTGTGGAGGAGGTGGTGATGTGGTGCCTCTGGTTTGCTGGACTTGTTTTCCTGCATTTGATGGTTCAGCTCTGCAAAGACCGATTTGAATACGTAAGTTTTTAGCCAGCCTCTTTCATTGCTCAGTCACATCTGTGTGCCAAGTTTAATGTGAGATGCAGTGTGAGAAAGTCACAGGGTTGCATGCCAGGGGCAGCTCTAAGGACTACTAGCTCAGCTGTCACGGCCTTTTCCCTGAGGAGCTTCTCCCTGCAGTGGTAGGATGCCTGTTTTCTAGGGAGCTTCCTCACCCCTATCCCCCAAGCCCTACAGCCACTCCTAGCCTAGGTCAGAATGTGAAGGAGCCTTGATGAGTACCTCTTCTGGAGAGTTTCTGGGTTCGTCTTCTCCCATTTTTCTTCTCTTACCCTGACTGGTGGAGCTTCTTTCTCACTAATTTGTATTGTTCTTCTTGGAGTCAAGACTGAGTGAGCTGCCTCTGCTTCCCATCTGGCTGTAAGATCTGCCTGAGACTTCAGGCCACACCTGTGCCAGTGAGCACCTCATACAGGCTGAGGTAGACATGGCTGAAGCAGTTTCCCAGTTGAACCCACTCTAGGACCTTGTGTCCCTCTCTTTAGTCGGTGTTCATGGAGATGGCCTTGTACTTCTTTGTGAATCTTACTCTTGAAGGCTTTCTTTCTTTTCCAGTTCTCATTCTTACAAATCAGAGCTGCTAGCCTTCCTTTCTGGGCTGATTGTAGCCAGCATCCAGTACAGCAGTAGTTAGAGCTCCAGGTCTCCTTTCCAGGCACTTACCTGTCTTTGCCTCATATCAGCATACCATTATGCATAGTACTTTGCACCTGATTCCTTTCCATTGTTCTAGCCCTAATAGGCTAAGCCTCCAAGTCAATTCTGCAAGACAAACAGAAACAGAGCAGAAAAGGGCACTGTTCTGAGTCATATAAAATGTTAGATGATTGAGCCTCCTTCTAGAGATTGTAATCTCATGCTCGGGGGACACTGGAGAATATGAAATGGAAATATAGCGCATATTCTGTCTGTAAACGAAATGATAGGGATCTGTACATCTCAGCTCACGTATATAGGTCATGGTAGAATTTGGGCTTTTCTGTGTTAGTTTGGTGCTCCAAGCAAAGATACCAAGCTTGATCTTGATCTGAGGGCAGTCGCCATGGTGGAGGAATGAACTAACTGTCTTTCTGTTCTGTCCCTTTCAGCTTTCCTTCTCTCCCACCACACCAATGAGCAGCCATGGGAGAGTCCTGTCCCTGCTGATTGCTATGCTGCTCTCGTGCTGTGGACTGGCAGTTGTCTGCTGTGTCACAGGCTACACCCATGGGATGCACACCTTGGCTTTCATGGCTGCAGAGGTAAGGTACCAGGCACAGCCTTCTCTGATTAGATTCCTAAACATTTTAAAGACCAGAGAGTGGATGACAGATTGCTTTAAAAGATATTTGGTCTTTGACTTTAACAGGGATTTATTGTTTTCCTGTTTTTGTTGGGTGCTGGTACTGAATGCTTTTATATGACCTATTTCATGTAATCCTTGGAGAATTATTTTTCTCAACAATTCAGGACTAGGGGGCTGGGTAAGAGCACTGTACAAGCATCAGGCCCTGAGTTTGAATCCCAGTACCATCGTAAAAAGCTAGGCATGGGGTTTGCTAGTCAGCCTGGCTCTGAGTTCACAGAGAAACCTTGTTTCAAGACAGTAAGAAAGATAGACGGAGCAGAATACCTGGCATCCTTTTTCGGCCTCCGTGTGCACATAGACCATGTGCTAGGGATTGTTGAGGGAACTTTTTTTTTCAGAGCTGGGGATTAAATGTAGGATTTTGTACATCCTGGGCAAGACCTTTACCATTGGGCCACAGCCTAGCAGGAATCATTTTAAATTCTTTACACATTTGATTCCTTATTAATTCTGCTTACGGTGGAGGAGGAGACCCTGAGGCCTAGTGTGTGAACTGTTTGAGGTTTCAGAGTGGCAAATGCAGTTCAAGTACTCTTACTCCAAAATAGGAAAAGCATTCCTTTCAAGATACAAAAGAAATAGTTTCTGGTGAATATTAATATATAATAATTTTTAAAGCCAAATAAAACATTTACAATAATTATTTAAACTATGTTTATTACTTTAAAGGAGTGTGTGTGTGTGTCTGTGTGTGTATGTGTGTGTGTGTGCGTGTGTGTCTGTGTGTGTGTGTGTGTTGCTAGAGCTTTCTGTCCTGATAGGCAAGAGTTGTCTTCAGCCCTCTATGAAGTTTTTTTATTTTTTTATTTTTGAGAAATGGCTTCATTATGCAGCACTGGCTGGCCTGGAACTCTGTGTAGATCAGGCTGGGCTCTGCTTCTTGAGTGTTGGGGTGAAAGGCGTGCCACCACGCTTGGCTGCAAGAATAAATTGTAGTGGCATTTACTTATTTCACATGTGTGCTATAGTATATGTGTAGAGGTCAGAGGACAACTTGTGAGGATTAGTTCTACTTCTATCATGTGAGTCCCAGAATTGAACTCACAGTATTAGGTTTATTGATAAGGGCCTTTACCTATTGAGCCACCTTGCCAGCCTGAGTTTTGTTATATACAGACTATTTATTTATTCTTTGACAGTTTCATAAGTGTGTACAATGTATCTTGATGGGGTTTATCCCAGCTTTCTCTGGACTCCCCTTGGGCTTCTCCAACATGCCACCTTCCACCTTTGTGGTTCCCTCTTTTGTCTTTCCTATCCTGTGGGTGAGTCCAGTGAGTTCGTCTTGCATACTCACGGGTGTGGGCTATCCTCCATGAGTATTTAAAAATAAACAAAATACTTTTTAAAAACTTAAAGATAACGTTTTTCTCTAGTAGAAACAATTAAAAATTAAAGATTTGTTTTTTTCTTCTGTGTCAGTGTTCCACTGTATTTGTATGTGTGCCATTTGTGTGCAGCACCTATGGAGGCTGGAAGATGCTGTTAGATTCTTAGGAACTGGAGTTGCAGTTGGGAGCTGCCATGTGGGTGCTGGGAGCTGAACACTGATTCCCTGGAAGAGGAGCCAGTGCTCTCGAGCACCCAGAACCCAGCGTTTTTATATGTCTTAAATTTTTTTAAAATTTATTTAGTTTATTTTTTTATGTGTCCAAGTGTTTTGCTTGTGTGTATGTATTTGTTGCATGTACATCCCTGATGCCTTCAGAGGCCAGAAGAGGACATTGGACCTCCTTAAACTGGAAGACTATGAACCACCATGTGGGTTCTGAGATCCAAACCTAGACCCTCTGCAGGAGCAGCAAGGTCTCTTAACTACTGAGCCATTTCTTTAGTCTGATTGTGCTCTTTATATTCAATAAGTAATGTATTCAACTTTTCCTCAGCCAAAGACCAACTTGGTCATTACTTTTACCTATAATTGCTAATTGGAAAAATGAAATACACTAGATGCTTTTAATTTTACTCTCCACAGTCTGAGTTATCTTCAGTAAGCTGCTAGCTGAAACTATTAAATGGAAAATTCTGGAAATAATAGTTCGTAAGTTTTGGGTTTTTTTGGTGCTGCATTTAAACTCAATGCCATGTGCACTCTCCTACTCAGCTTCTACACTTAGCCCCACAGTGTATAAGCTGTACATTCTGCACTGTTCTGAGGAGCAGAATGACGCTGGGTGGGCGCTGTGCTGCCTGAAGCATGAGTTATTTATTTGTTTAGAGTATCCATATTGCACGTGCTACTCACCCACTGATCATTTACTGGCCAATTATTTGATCACCTAGAGTAGTATTTTAGTGCTTGTGTTTGAGTGTCCTAGTTACTTTAATGTTGCTATGATAAAATACATCAACAAACCAACTTAAAGGAGAAAGGCTTTATTTTAGTTTATAGTTCCTGACGGATACAGTCCATCTTGGCAGGGATGACATGGCGGCAGGAGCAGGAAGCTGGCTCTTCACACTATATTTGCCCTGAAGAAGCAGAAAGCAGTGAATGCATGCTGCAGCTCAGGTCTTCTCTATCTATACAGTCCAGGATCCCAGTCGGGATGGTGGACGGGTAGAGTGGATGGGTCTTTCTACCTCAGTTAACCTAATCCATATAACCTCAAAAGCATGCTTAGAGGCCCATCTCCTAGGTGGTTCCAGATTCTGTCCAGTTGACAGTAAATTCGAACTATCACCAGATAACCTCTATCTTCTTAATAATGACCATAGTGTACAAGAACAATGAAGCAAAGGAAACACTAGGAATAAAGCAGGATAGGTTACCTATAATGTAATATGGTAATGCATTAGGACGTATAGGAAAAAAGATAACACACACACACAGATACACACACAGATACACACACACACACACACACACACAAAATATGCTTTCAATCCCAGTGCTTAGGAGGCAGAAGCAGACTGATCTCTGTGAGTTCAAGGCCAGTCTGGCCTATATAGTGAGTTCCAGGATAGATAAATAGACTATATAGTGAGACCATGTCTGAAAAAAAGGAAAGAAACAGCATACCTCCTTTGGCTAAGAGAGAGCTATGTAGTAGATACACTGAAGCTACTGATTTATTGTCAAAACAAGTTAGGTGTAAATATTTAGGAATTTGTTAGAAGCAAGGTTAAAGTTTAATTTTTCTTAGTATTCAATTCAGAGTATATGTAGTGCCAATAAAATTAGAAAAGGGCCCAGGGCTGGAGAGATGACTCAACAGTTAAGAGCTTTTACTGTTCTTTCAGTGGACTCAGGCTTCATTCCCAGCCTCCCACATGGAACCCTGCAACTGTCCTTAACTCCAGTTCCAGGGGTTTCTACACCCTCTTGATGGTCAAGGGCCACAGCATGCATGCGGTGTGTGTCATGCACATAAAATAAATATTTCAATTTCTTAAATTAGGAAAACATTTAAGTACTTAGTGAAAATGTAATCTCAGTTGAATATGTATATGTGAAAGTATGTAATAAATGTGTTTCCTCTTTAAAAGACCTATTTAAAACATACATAGATATAATTAGATTGCCTTAAGTATTTTATTATGAAGTATTATTTGAATGATATTCTTACTTGTTTTTTTTTTTCTGATTATCTAACCTTCAGTTCATAGTCTGCCAAATTTAGAAAAAGATATACAAATTTAAAGTAGGTTGAATAGCTGGGTGTGGTACATGCATATACTTATATCTCAGAATCCAGGGAGATCTCTGAGCTTGAAGTCAGAGTGGTCTACACGCTTAGCTTCAGGCCAACTAAGACTACAGTGAGACCTTGTTTCAAGAAACAAACAACTTCACCTCCCCTTTTTAGACAATACTCAGGCCGTATACATTGACTTTGAACTCCTGAGCCTCCTGTCCTGGGGTTATTGGTGTATATGCTCATGTGAGCCTTGAAGAAACGTTTCTTTTCTTTCTTTTTTTTAATTGGATATTTTATTTATATTTCAGATGTTATCCCCTTTCCCTGTTTGCCCTCCAACCAGGAGCCCTCTATCCAACCCCCTCCTTCTACTTCTATGAGGATGTGCCCTCACCCTTGCACCCTCTCCCACCTCCCCGCCCTCAAATTCCCCCACACTGGAGCATCCAGCCTTCACGGGACCAAAGATCTCCTCTCCCACCTATGCCCGAAAAGACCATCCTCCCTTACATATACAGCTGGAGCCATGGGTCCCTCCCTATGTGCTCCCAGGCTGGTGACTTAGACCCTGGGAGCTTGTTGGTTGGTATTGTTGCTTTCCTCACGGGACTGCAAACCCTTTCATCTCCATCAGTCTTCTCTCTAACTCCTCCATTGGGAACTCCATGATCAGTTCAATGGTTAGCTGTGAGCATCTGCCTCTGTGTATGTCAGGCCCTGGCAGACCTCTAAAGGAGACAGCTATATCAGGCTACTGTCAGCGTGCACTTCCTGATATCCACAACAGTGTCTAAATGTTTCTTAAGACAAGTTTCTAGTTAAAAAAAATATCATGAGAATCTTATTTTGGGTTTGATTCCTTCATTCTTCTCTGTTCTGGTAAATGAAAGATACAACGCTTGAGAACAGAGACGCTCTGCCCCTGTAGGACAGTCAGTCGTGGGTGATGTGTAGTTGACAAAACAGGGTCGCCCCAGTCAAATATCCTTTTAGGTAACCAATCATGGCGACTCGAGTTATGTCAGATAGAAGTGGTTGTTTGACACTTAGGATGGACCTCATCATTGCAAAAGGCATTCCGGGGAGGTGGGTGGGCGTGGCTGCTTTATTGCTGTCAACTGGAAAAGGCTCAGTAGAGTTGGTCTCCTGGGTTAGGAAGATAATCCTCGGAAACTGGGGGTGATAAACTTGACCAATCTACTTTGCATCTTGTTTGTTTTTAGAAATCTGCTTTTTAATTAAACTAAGAAGTATTTCTCTTTTGCAGTCTCTTCTTGTGACTGTGAGGACAGCTCATGTGATTTTAAGGTGAGTAGAAATGTTGACGATATGATTGACATTTACTAGTTCAGTTGACTTTGAGATGCTAAATTAAATTTACTTGGAATGGTAAGTTAGCATGCTTTTCTCGTTTCTGTCTATACTGTAGATATGTCATTCATCTCTGGGACCTCAACCATGAAGGGACTTGGGAAGGAAAGGGGACTTATGTGTATTACACCGACTTTGTCATGGAGCTCACTCTCCTGTCCCTGGACCTCATGCACCACATTCACATGCTGGTGAGTTCCCCAGGAGTGCTCTGACAGGAACCCTGGTTTGTACATTAAAACAATGAAATACTCAGGGTATTGTGGATGAACCCTTTGAGAGACTTGAGTGTGGTTGGAAAGCCTTCCTCCTTTGGCAGCTGGGTGGAAAGCGCTGCTGTGGGGCTGCCTGGGTGGTGGATGCCCAGCTCAGGAGGTGAGTGCTGTGGCAGGAGATGTGGTTAACTGCTGACCAGTCAGTAGAGCATTCTTAGAGCATGCATGGTACAGCAAGACATTTCCTATAGTATCTGTGGCCTTCCTACTGAACACGTGCTCTTTAGTGGTAATAGGAAGGAATTCTTGCTGCTTTTGCCTTAAGGATTTATGGTTTTCTACCTTTGTAATTAAAAACAAAGCCTTTGTACTTAAAATCTACCTCATTAATTTGGTGTGTCAGAAATTTCAGTGTTGAAGCCAGTTCAGTCTTACCCACCTACAATTCTAGAACTTGTGAAGAAAAGGCAGGAGAATCATCAATTTAAAGGTCAGCCTGGGTATATACTGAGACCTTGTCTCAAACACCAAGGACTGGATGGGGGTGTGGCTAAGGGAAGAGCACTCACCTATAGGATAGTCAATGTCCTGGGTTTGGTCCCCAGCACCATAGGAAGGAAATGTAAGTGTCTTTGACAGGTGGGCATTTAAAAAAATCTAACTAATAATGGTTAGAATCAGTGTAGTAATGGGAAGTTTATAAACTTGTCACAGTAACATCTAAAAGGTACTGGGATATCACATTTATAAGTGTACTTTTTGAAGATGAAAAGATTTAACATTTTGCTTTATTTTTTTACTTTATAAATATTATTATAAAAAACTTGCAAATAAATAAACACTACACTCTAAATAAAACAGGCCCAAAGTCTATACAACTTAATGTGTATATGTGTATGTATATGTAAGTTTGCATGGCTGGACATCTTTTTACATTAAGCTTTTAAATTTCAGGTTAATTACTCAGGAGAGGTTGTGACAGTGGGATGAAGAGCCATGTGTACTGTTTAGGACAATCAAATAAATACATGCATTTATTTACTGAGAGATTGTTCTAGTTCCCTTTCACCAGCCTTAAAGAGCCTCTGTTGTGTACCTTCATCACTAACAAATTCGTGTGTATGTGTATGTATGGTTTATGTGCATGTTAGTGTATGTGTGCTCACCTGCACACAGATGTGTGTATGGATCCATGTGTGAGGCCAGATGTTGATGGGAGGTGTTTTCCTCTGTTGTTCTTCACCTTATTTTTTGAAACAGATTTTCTTCACTGACTCTGGAGCTCACTGATGAACTAGACTTTTCAGTGAATTTCAGAGTCCTTCTGGCTTCATCCTTCCAGCTCTGGGGTTACAAATGTTCATAGTTATACCTGGTGTTTTGTTTTGTTTTATTTTGTCTTGTTTTGTGTAGCCTTGGCTATCCTAGAACTTTGTCGGTATACCAGGCTGGCCTTGAATATACACAGATCCTCCAGTCTCTATCTCCCAAGTGCTAGGATTAACTGACTGGCTCAGGCCTGGCTTTTTCAGGCCTGGATGCTAGAGATCGTAACTCAGCATCTTACTCAGTTACTTAATATTGAGCTGTGTCCTCAGCCCTCACATTTGTTTTATTGTCTATTTTACTTCCCTCTATCTCTGTTTAGTTGTTTGGCAACATCTGGTTATCTATGGCTAGCCTGGTCATCTTTATGCAACTTCGTTACCTGTTCCATGAGGTACAGCGTCGAATCCGTCGCCACAAGAACTATTTGCGAGTGGTAGGAAACATGGAAGCCAGGTAAGAAAGTATGGCTTTCTTTTAGAGATGACATAGAACTTTCTTTCCAGAATGTGGGGAGGGTTCCAGAAGACACAGGGTTCTTATTTTTAGTCATTGTCTGTTGTTGCTACTGAGTGGAAGCTCCTGGGGTCTTCTGACATCTTTGTTTTGTGCAGGTGTGTCTTGATTATAATTTACACATACATGTTTATGGACATGGCTCACTCACTGAAGGCACTCTTACTTGTCAGCTTGAGGCTAACCCAAACCAGAAAGGGCAGAATCTTTTTTCTTCTTAGGGACAGTTTGGATCTCTGGGGGGTCTGATTCCTCTGATATATCCATAAATGCCCTGAATGTGTCACTAACGGATGTCACTGTGATTGCAGTCAGTTTTGTGCTGAGTTTCTCACTTGTTTTTTCAAGAACTATGAAGAATAAAAATAATTTTTCTACTTGATGAGTTTTGCTGTGCGATTGTGCTATTGTTGTGGTTGTGTGAGTGATATGGTGACTTTGGCTGTGCGTGGCATTGATGAGCTCCTCCTGGGCCTGCTATGTGTTCTTCAGGTTTGCTGTTGCAACTCCAGAGGAGCTAGCTGTCAATAATGATGACTGTGCAATCTGCTGGGACTCCATGCAGGCTGCGAGGAAACTCCCCTGTGGACATCTTTTTCACAAGTAGGAGCTGTGTGCAGGGTATTTGGGAATGGGTTTCTGTTCTGACATAAGCCCAGCAGTAGAGCAGGAAAGTTACCTCAACCTGGCCTTGTTGATGTTGCTGGGAGCCTGGAACTAGCTTTTTTTTTTTTTTTTAAATCTGTGAGCCTTTTCTTTTTGTTTGCCTTTAGATGGTTCTTTACCCATATTTGCCAACTTAATTTCTATTTATTAACTTTCTTCAAAATTTTCCCCATTTTAAATTCTAGAGAACTGGGTTGAAATGGAACCAGACCAGGAATACTCTTGAGTAATCCATTAACAAAGATTACATGCTAGACCCTTCCACAAATCTCCAAGATCAGAGAAGATCTCAAATTTCAGAGATATCAAGACCATTTAAGCTAAATAATTTTGTGCATGGATTTCATATTTTGCTACTGGTAGATTTAGAGGTATCTTTTGGCCCTTTGACTATTGAAAATTTTTTTTAATCTAATCACCTTTAGTTTTTTTCCTTTTTTATATCAGAAGGGCTTTGGAGCTAGAGTTAACAAATGTCCTGACAGACAGTTTTATTTGTTAGGATACTATGTGGAGCTTTGGGCTAAAATGGAAATGACAGATGAGGTCTTGATTGGTGAAGCTTGTAGTCTAATTCAGGAGTGGAATGTGAATTAACAGGCACGGTTAGAATGTGTAGATTTTAAAGAAACAGGGCTCTGAAGTGCTGGTGTGTGCCTTTAATACCAGCACTCAGGGGCAGAGGAGTCTCTGAGTTCAAGGCCAGTGTGCCAGTGTGCTCTACAGAGTGAGTTCCAGGACAATCAGGGCTACACAGGGAAACCCTGTCTCAAAAGATGAGAGAGAGAGAGAGAGAGAGAGAGAGAGAGAGAGAGAGAGAGAGAG